TAAAGTATGCAGGTTTTCTTGTAAATTTGTAAATATATATATATTTATATAGACTTTTTCTTTACATTTTTATAAAGAAAGTGTTTCTTTGTGTTTTTATCAGCAGGTATGCTCCATGTCCTTTGTGATCATAAAGAATACCATAAATAATAATAACAGTCATTGTCATATTGATAAAAACAACAACAACAATAGTTACAATATACAGATAAGGTCTTTTATTGTTGTTAGCCTTTTATTTTTTTATTATTTTTTTTGAAGTCGCAATATTACTTTTATGAGAAAAAGTGTTTTTAAATTCTCACTAAACCTGTTATGTGTTTGTGTTTGTTCACGGCTCCATTTAGAAGTCAACTGATGATGACTCATCCTCGACTCAGAGCAAAACTCCGTTTCAGGGGTGTCATGAAACTTGATTTTTATCTATATTTTTTTTTTATCTGTGTCACTCACCTACGCTAACACAGTGCTAACATCATAATCTAGGACATAAAAACATCACAGGAGTCTGACCTATGCCAGGGAGCCATAATGAAGGGCAAAAAGTTCCCCCCCCCAAAAAACAACACAAACGACAGAAAATCAAATGTTCATATTTTTTGTGAACTTTTTGCCCTTCATTATGGCTCCCAGGCGTAAGTCAGACTCTTCTGATGGCAGTGCCTCGAAAAAAAGGATGGAGAAGGCATCTTCATATCTCCATATCGTGATTCTACTTTCGCTCTCTCAGCTTTTTTTTAGTCCAATCTCGTGGCATTTCTGCTATATCGTGGTATTTTACGGTACATAATAAAAACATTAATTTCCAATATTTTCATTACTTACCTGAAAAAACACAATTTTCTAGCATAAATAGGGAAAAACAGTATATAAATAAATAAAATAAAAAATTTGCAACACCTACATACAGGGTAATGCAAAAGAAAAACAAAAGTAGAGTAATGACCTACGTTGGACACAGGAGGGCACTGTTGTTGTTGTTCGACTGTTGATAACAGTGCGGGGGAGGTTGGTAAAGGGTAAATATATACGTAAATAATATAATAACTTTATTTGCCTTTACTTCGCGATTTTCCCCATGTAGCGTAGGCCTGGGAACGCAACTACTGCGAACCCTAGAACCCTAAGAATTCTAACCCTAACTGTATCTAAGTTCCGCCTTGTGCCGAAAATCAAATTAAGACGCAACGTAAGAACGAAACTCCAATTGAAGTTGACGACCCCCTTGTATTATAATTTTGTATGATAAAAAAATCTCTTATCATATCTCAAAAAAAAAAACCTGTTTCAGAATTCCACCACCAAGTGCAAAACCGAAGCACTCAGTCCAAATTAGCTTTCGGTCACGCCGTGTGATTTAACTCACAGCGAGGTTTCATCTACAGAACCAAACAGATCGTTCACACCTGAGTTCATTTTCCCAGAGTGATTAAATTGTCACAGCCAAGCCAGTAATGTGTCTTGACTTTAAAAGTTTCACTCGAATCAGCGGAGAAAGCTGCAAATTACCAGAGATTTCATTGTTTACTCGGTGTGAAAAAGGCGGTCATCAATCAGGGGCGCTTCACCAAAATGTCAATTGTGCGTGCTTCACTTTGTGTGTCATTTTCCACCAGAATAACTTTCTGTCTAGTGGACACATATGTGTAGATGCTTCTGTGGCAGAAATGTCAGTGACTAACCTGGAGTCGAACCCGTTGGAGTTAAAATCATTTAAACGGTCATTACCGCGCAGCGAAAGGAAGTAAACAATAATTTAGTATAGAATAGTGTCACATGTCTGCCTGACTGACTGACTTTGTTTGGGGAATATCTTTGTTACAAACAGATTGTGTACATAAACTCGAATGTTCCTGCTGCAGCTGTTGGAGTAGGGAGAGCAAATGAGCGTTAAAATGAAAAACCTCTTCTCCTTACCGGCATCATTTTTTTTTGTTATATAACTTAACCAGGCACACATGGCCATTAAGAACTAATGTGCGACCATTAAAATCTGCTTTTCCGCTTGGCCATAATAAATGTTGCCATGACGATAAATACTAAAGAAAATATGTCGGTAGGTATTACAGGCATCCCGCCATCGCTGCTCATTAACATCGCCACGAGACATAAGAGTTGGGAGTCATCGGTCAAGATTGTACCGGGGATCAATAAAGCGTTGACAAAAATAAAAGCTTGTGTACGGAAAGGTTGCAAGTTCAAATCCACCAGTCACTAGGTGCCACTGAGGTTCACCGAGCGTGACATCTTCTCTTGAGTCGACGCCTGCTCACTAAGATGCTAGGTTAAAAGCAGAGGACCCATTTTATTGTGTGCATCAGAGGCAATAATTTACTTTCACTTTCACTTTCATTTTCATATGCAGCCATGTTTCTCCAGAACTATATTTAGGTCACACATCATAAGTCATTGCGTCATCGAGTTTTCAATATTGGAGTTAAAAAAATGATTCTTCTTGATATTTAGGGATGTCCAAATTTTACTTTTTGCTAATATCTGCTATTGCCGATATTGTCCAAACACTTAATTTCTGTTTCCGATATCAACCAATACCGACATACACAGCCATTTTCCCCCAAAATTGAGGTTAACGTTTTGGTACCTGGCAAGCTAATTCGGCATATTTTGCAATAATCACAAAAAAATATTTTTCAAAATAGGTAAATAAAATAAAATAAACTCGGACCTCTGTTGACTGAGCGGTAGATAATTTGTATCAGGATAGTCTGCATTTAAAGTCATCGGTTGTTTTATGACTGCTAACCTCCTCCACTGTCTTTCACTGTACGTGCTAACGTTGTCAGACTAAAAAAAAAAATATATATATATATATATATATAGTACAAGTGTTTCCACAGCACACGGCTCGAGATGTGTTCCGATTCTGCAACTTTTTTTTACTTTTTTTTTTAGTATGTGTAGCGAAGCTGTTTGCTCGGGAAAGGTGGTGTTCTCATAAAAGATTAATCGTCGCTTGGTGGCCCTGAGGCACCCAAGCCCTCAACACAGGATTCATAAATAAAGCTAAATGGATCAATATTTCCAAGACTTTAAAGGTAACCTATGGCTAACCCTACCTTGAATGGGAAAGCTTTGAGAAAGGTTAGATTTTAATCGAAGCCTTCCCGGAGAAATAATAAAGAGGGAGCGCTGTTTAATCATCACAAGTGTGCTGTAACGTAGCTGTAACCAAGGAGAGGATCCACACGCTACGAAAAAACACGCTTGGTTTTTATTATTCTCTGCAATCGTAAAAAAAAAAAAGAAACGGCCGCTTTAATGGCACCATTTTGGCGTGATACCTCAGAGTTATTGCGCTGACATTACATGGCGGAGTGGCTTTTATATTTAAAAGGAAGCAGGGAAACAAAAGTATGGACAATCGGAGAGTTGCGCTGCTGCATCAGCAGCCAGCAGCAGATGGCTATTAATCAACCCTCGCTGAAGTAATGTGCCAGAAGAGAACGACATATTACACTGGGAAGGAAAACACACACGACAAACGCAAACATTAGCCCGTGGTTCGCCAAGCATCATCGCGGCAGCATTACCGTCATAATTACAACAACTCGAATGTTTTTTTTGTTTTTTTTTACGTCCTGATTAACCCAACACTAAACCAGTCTGTTTGTGTTTATCAGCGCTTATATTTGTATTACCCGGAAGCTGTCAATCAAATTCCAGTCTAATTCGTGTCATATTTTTGTTTTTGATTCGTGAAGATATCGTAAAGGAACAAAAGTGACGTGGAGGAGATTGGGGCAGACCTGCAGTAAATTGGAAATTCAAATGGGAAGAACTGTTGCTCTCATCAAGGCAAATGGGGCCGTTGTGGCGCACCAGTCAACAAAAAGACAGCCTGGACTGCATGTTAATATTTGTCCTAACTGAGGAGTTTGTTTAGTCTCCGCTCATGTTTGAATTCCATCTCTGTCTTTATTTATTAAAGAGGATTTTCCAGACTAAACAAATCCACTCCTACCAAACTTTGCAGATGAAAAGCACAAAAAATGAACCAAAAAAAACAAACAAAAAAAACAATTAAATCTTTAAAAAAACAAACAAAAAAAACAATTAAACCTTTTAATTAAGTCTTTTAATGCTAGCAATTACATTAATTAAAACTATTTAGGCTACATGGTGCGAAAATGTCTAAAAATAAGATAATTGCTTATGACTAATATTTTATGAAAAATACATATTAGTAGTGATTTAATGGGCAGCATTGTCATGTGTTTCTTGGGGTAAAAAAAAAGAAAATCACACAAAGTATTTATACCAGTATTAGAAAAGAAATGCCAAAAAAAGTAAGTAAAAGTTTTTAGAATTAATTATAATCATATTTTTATAATTTTGTTTAACTTCGTCACATTTTCCTCAAGTAGCCATAACAGAAACTACAGGCAAAGTTTTTCAAATTTGAAATAAATTTATGTTGACGATGATCAGAAATACATTTAGGTGAACGTAAATAACAAAAAAAATGTGTCTATCCATTTTTTATCTGCTTAATTAAAGTTAAACTTAATTTTTTTCCAGCTCTAAACCCTGTTGTCCGTCTATCGCCGGCTGCTCACACTGTTGATCTGTTGTAGCTAAACTCAAAAATGTACGATTCGAGATTCTGTTAGTCAAGTATCAGGTATTAAACCAAACTATTAAGAGACCAAACGTGATCGGGATTTGTTTCCCAATTGTCATTCATTAGAATTTTCCAATATTCATAATGCATTTCAAAAGCGCACTCTGCGTTGAAGTTTGACCGCTACGGCTAATGAACTACAACCATGCAATGAATAATTCCGTTGTTCAACATCAACCGCATGATTCTTTTTAGGGTCAAGTTCGTGAAAATCATTCCGGAACACATTTACAATGGTGGTGCAATCTAAATCTTTATCAAAACAATAAAATGTCCTATAAAGCGTGTGTCCTATTAGCATCCACATGCTGGATGCTAATGTAGCCATCTGTCTCACGTCTTGGTTTCTCTCCCACAGGGCACTGATGCCACGGACGCTCGACAGCCAGATTACACTGGAGAAGACTCCCAGCTACTTTGTGACCAGAGAGGCGCCCCGACGCATCGCCAGCATGTCCCACGAGACCAAGCTGATCGTCGTGGTGCGCAATCCCGTCACGCGAGCCATCTCTGACTACACGCAGACTCTTTCCAAGAAGCCCGACATCCCCACCTTCGAAGAGTTGGTCTTTAAAAACAGAAGTTTGGGTATCGTCGACACCTCCTGGAATGCCATTCGCATCGGGATGTACATCCTGCACCTGGAGAACTGGTTGCAGTACTTCCGCCTGTCACAGGTGCACTTTGTGAGCGGCGAGCGACTCATCACGGACCCGGCGGGGGAAATGGGCCGCGTTCAAGACTTTTTGGGACTGAAGAGAATAATAACGGACAAGCACTTCTATTTCAATCGCACAAAGGGCTTCCCTTGTCTGAAGAAGCCGGAGAGCAGCAGCCAGCCGCGCTGCCTCGGAAAATCCAAGGGAAGGACTCATGTGCAGATCGACCGTGAGGTCATAGAGCAGCTGCGGGAGTTTTATAGGCCGTTTAATATCAAATTCTATGAAACTGTCGGACAGGACTTCAAATGGGACTGACTGACTGACTACCTCTAGAGATGTATTCAGTGAAAAATGGTCTAGGGTATCTTCAGCGGAATGTCATCTTAGTCCTATTGAACTCTTGACATCGTGACTCAGTTGTCCCCGGATTAGACAAACCCTATATTTACACGGAAATACACGGAACCTTTATTTTGTACTTCTGTTGTTTACATCATTTTTTTTTTCCGTGAAATGTATAAGGATGAAGAAAACGGCTGGAAATACCGATTGAACAGTGCCGAATCAGCATGTTAGGTAACAGTCGATTGTACAATTTTTTTTTTTTTTCTCCTTCAGACGTTTCATTAGGACAATCCGAAGCTCAGCCTGCACAAATCCCAAAGATGTTGCTTTGTACGTACACTTGACAAATCAACATAGAGTGAGGATTGTCTGGATATGGGTGTTATTGCTTACTAATACGTTTTCAGTCAAACCTAACCTGTCATCAATTTTAGTCATCAAGTTTTTAAGTGCTCACAATGACAAAATGGATAACAATCGTGCTCATTAAATGTGCTATAAAACATCACTCAGAAAGAGGGGTCAACGTGTACAAAAGAAAACCACTGGTGTGACTCAGTCCGGCTCGTTTTTCTGTTAGCACTTTCATTGTGTCCATCAATAAAAACCCGAAAGTATCGAAAAGATTACTCAAGACTTGAGGTTGATTTGTTGTTCTCCACTGTCTGAAGATGCGGTCATTATATTACATACACATTAAATCAAACCTACTGTGTAGCGCAGCAGTCCACAACCTTTTTTGTGTAATGGACGGTAGTGGACGGTAGTGGACGGTACTGACCGTTACTGCGAACTAGTTGTCAAATTATCATTAAAGATCATTAAATTAATAACATTTTTTTATTTTTTTTTTCTGTTAGTATTGCGGTCTCACTGATTCATTTTTACTGAAGTATATATTCCATATTTTGATATATATATATATATATATATATATATATATATATATATAGCCCCTCATCTCTT